AGATGGATAGAGAGATAGATGGATAGAGAGATAGATAGATAGATAGATGGATGGATTGATAGGTAGATAGATGGATAGATGGATAGAGAGATAGATAGATGGATAGATAGATAGATAGATAGATAGTGTTATTGATTTGAATGTTGATTGAATTTCCTCCAGGACTTCCGGAGCTGTTCGACGCCTTCATCTGCTACTGCCAGAGCGACTTTGAGTTTGTGCACGAGATGATCCGCGAGCTGGAGCAGACGGAGTGTCGTCTGAAGCTGTGTGTGTTCGACAGAGACGTGCTGCCGGGGTCGTGTGNCTGTAGCTATGCACACATTACAGTAAAAGCCTTGAGTCTTTAACTGTATATAACTGGGCGGTGGTGGCGAAGTCGATAGGGACTTGGCAACTGGAAGGTCACCAGTTCAAGTCCCGGCAAGACCAAGTGCTACCGAGGTGTCCCTGAGCAAGGCACCGTTCCCTACACTGCTCCCCGGGCGCCGTTCATAATGGCAGCCCATTGCTCCTAACAGAAATGCAGAGAAACCATTTTGTTAAATAGAACCTGTACTATCATGTTTTTAAAATGACTTAATGAAAGAGAACAGGATCAGCCCGTTACGAATACAGGTGAAAACACAACTTCAAAGATCTTCTGTCGACAAACTTGTGAATTTGTCCATCCTCAAAAATACAATTTGCTGTACATTGTAACTTCACTTCATGGTTAAATCTTTGCACACGTTTGATTATATCATAAATGTAATTGCATCTCTCTGGATGTTGAACTCAGTCCCAGAGGGGAAGAGAGCGTGATCACGCTGTGAGGGAAGCATTGACAAAACAATCATGATCTTTGAAAAAAAGCACCCGATGTTTTCTGTAAGCATGTTTCCTCAAAACAAGTGAAGCCCGTAGATTATCACACTACGACCAGGCGAAGTGTGAACGGGACAGGCAAGAGGTTTTTCTTTCTTTCAAATGAACTTTCCTGTTTAACCCTAAATGCTGCTTTGCCGTTAAGCCGATAGCTGATATGTTTGCTCTTTAGGGAGTTGACGTCCCAGTATGGAATGTTTGCATTCTTTCTATTCTGGTGCATGGCTAAGAAGTCTTTTAAAAGATGGGAAAACACAGGGGAATAGTCGACAGATTGATAAGCTTACTGAGGACGCGGACAAAGAACCAGCATAACATTTAATTTAATCATTAAAACACCATTAAAATGACAAGAAACAATTTCAATCTCAGTGTCTCGTGTTACTCATTAGATAAGACCAAATGATCACACTGCTCAGGTTGAATACTTGATTCTGATTGGTCAACAGGGCATTCCAGTGGTCTGCTGTTTTACGATAGCAGACCGTTGCTAAGGAGAAAAGACTGTTGCTAAGGAGGATCAAGGGACTGTGTGCAGCCATATCAATCCTCAGAAAGAAGTCTGGTAAAAAAAAAAAACGTAATTTTCATTCATCAGAAAACGCTACGGATACTTGTTGAATATTTATGCCAGGCACAATTATCGTTTTGGCTTTGTGTCTTTGATTGGCTTCTTCATGGATGAGGTCACCATCAGTTTATCTGTTTCTCACCGGGCCAGTTTGCACCTGACGCCTTTTAAAACACTTCCTCTGCATACCTGGATGTCATTCCTCACATTATTCATAGAAAGGTACAACGAGGAAATGTCACACATGACTTCTTCTTACCAGTAGCCTCTGACTCAACATTGATCCAAAGTGAAAGTCATTCCCATGGCATGTAAAACAGTACAGTACTTAAAATTGAGCGATGGGGCACTTTATAGTCAAGGTCTATTTTATTGCTAGTATTAAAAAGAACAGTGTTTCACTTAAATGTCTGCGAGAGCCCAGTAATGAATTTGTCAAATCATATTTTAGTGGTTTTTGTGAGTTGATATAAATGTAACTGGGTTAAATTGTCATATTATAAAACGGACAAGTCAAATCAAGCAATCTGATTGGTTCTTAGCCGTCATATAATGAGCGTATACCACTATACTAGAATTGTAGTTACTTTTCACAACAAGTCCGTATCCCTCCGCATCTGAGAAAAGCTACAACCGTTACAACTGTTACATTACGTCCGTTACGAAACTAACTAACTAACAAAGCTTAAGATGGAAACATGTAAGGACTTAATGTGCAGCAAGGACTTATTGACCGTTGTTAAGGACGCTCAAATCTGCAGAAAGAAGACCGGTTGATTTAACTGTATACAGTTGGGCTGAAAAGCTTCGCGTCGGGCCGAACCACGCCCCTTAGCTGTGATATAATGAGCATATACCACAGCCTGTCGTGAGCTATTGCTTAAATATATTATCTCTTGTTGAGTATCATAAACTTGACTTAGTGTGTTTTCCACAGAACACAATATACTAATAATTGAAATGGCCTCAGTTTTAATGTTGACAATAAATCGTATTCCAGTGGTTGCTTTTTGATTGTCTAAGTTTGCTAGAATATAATATTACTGGAGTTTTGTAAACCACTAAGAAACAGGTCATTATTTGAAGCAAAAATGACAGATAATTCTTTGGGATGTAACGATATATCGAATATCGCGATAAATAAATGTCTCAATACCGTCGTGAGACTGACTAAATCGTCGATCTCTTTTTCAAGGGAGACCTGTCCAACATGGCAGCAAGTAGGTTACAACATGAACATAAAACAACAGATAACAAAAGGACATCGTATTTACAGGGCTACATGTACATACCTAGAGACATTGACAAGTACCAACAGTATATTTATATCTGGCCCTGTCAATAAGCCTCACCTTCTTCGCAAAAACTGTATTGTTTTTGAAGTGGTGGAGAGACAATGCACAGTTTGACCCACTGCTGTCACCCATGGCCAAAGCATATCTCTCTGTCCCAGCAACATCAGTACCAAGCAAGAGAGTTTTTTCCACAGCAGGGGATATTGTAAACGCCCAAACATCCCAGCTTCTACCTGGAAATGTGGACATGCTCATATTCCTAAAACCTGTCTGATGATGCTGAGTGAGTGAGTGAGAAAAACTAAAGTGAAACTTGATTTATTTTATTGCAGGGTCTGACTGATTATTATACTGCTGACACTTTAAAATACTACTATCCAACTAAAATGCTGTAAAAATTAGATTCAAGTAAAAAAAAAAATGGCAAGATGAAATGTAAAAAAAAAAAATTTAAAAAAAAAAAAAAAAATTCTACTTTTTTTTCAATATCGCGATAAATATCGTACCGTGGACTTGTTATCGCGATATTATCGTGCCGTGTGTTTTTGGTATCGTTACATCCCTAATAATTCCAGTTTTCAGCTTTGAAATGTTAGGGATGTTCTGCTTCTCTTTGCCTTATGTGAAAATAAACTGAGGAGAATCTGAAGAGTTAGTCGGACAAACAATTTGATGAGAGATCAACTTTAGGCTGTTTTGACTTGAATATCTCTTGGATACTGAGTTCAAACAAGAAGGTCTCTTTTCACAATTTCCTTCAATGTTTGCACGTACTGTACTGCACGTTCTGATATGAACTGACTATGAGGAACCTTTCCAAGCAAATAAAACCAACTTCTTTATTCACTCAGTGATGCTAGAAGCAGATAACAGCAAGAGACACACAGCTCGTGTTGCCTGCTGCGATCAGATACCAATCTAAATTAAAAAATCTATTTATGTTATCTTACACAAACAGTGAGCTGAACTAATTATCTGAAGGAGTCAATACTGCATTTGTATATCCCTCCTCTAAGAATACACACTCCAAAACAACCCCTGACTGTTGTGCAACCGAGAGAAGATCGTCCACACATGAACACACAATGCCGGCTATTTCTGTGAAAAACCCTCCCTTTTGAGGCTCCCTTCTCTTTCCCCCCGCAGTAGTTATTCTCTTGAGGCTAATATTTTTGGTAAAATGCTGACAGCAAATGCTAAGAAGGTAACCTGAGGAGAATGATCTGAGGAAGTCATTCTGATTTGGTAGAACAGCAAGAGATTTAAAGAGTGCTCACTAAAAATGGATAAAGGAAAACGTCACTATCGTTTGATTTACTGATCAATGATCTAGTTCGAGGCGTCCCTCAGACCCAAAGCTCATTTTTTAAAGCTGTAATGGAAATAAAGTAGTCATAGAAAGACTGTCTAAGAGGGCAGAGAGCAGGATAACTCTACAGGACTTTCTGCAAGGTTAAACCTAACCAGAAGCAGATGCCAAACAGAAGGACTTTTCCTGTCTAACTTGTGTTTACGAGGAGCCTTGGATCAAAGCCAGAGAGAGTTACGATTGGATATTAAACAAGGTAGATCCTTTAGATTCGCGAGGGCAACTAGTGGTCAGCTTTTGTGTCATTTTAACAACAACTACGCAGTTTATTTCCAAAGCCAAATTGATATTCTTCTTACCCAGTTCAACCTGGAAATAGCTTCACCAAACATAACAATCTGTGTCGCACATTGCGTAGAGAAATGCCACAGAACTGGTTTCCATACCAGAGGGGCTTTGTCTGTGTTCATGCAAAATTGCAGGGTTTATCTTGAGAGGTACCCCAGATCAGATGTTCCAAGAAAGTAGAAATGGGTTAAATCTGGGTATGTTTTAGAAAATATACAAAAGGCCTGCAGAATGGACCCTCTATATCCACAGAGTCCCTGAAGAGGACGCAAGCACCACTTAAAGGAAACCAGAGGCACATATGTAGTGATTTGAGGGGACAATACTTTGCTTATATGTTACACACTCCTTCCCTCTGAGCAGCCGACAGGGTCAGGTTATAGGTGGGGTGGTAAATATCAGAACATCTAAAGTACAGCTGCCTGGAAAGGTGCGTTATATGTGTCCAAAGTGATACATACAAAGCAGACTGATGAAACAAAGCATTTTTTATGTTTCCCAAATTACTTTTTCCCCATTTCCTTTTAGAGACGTGTTTAAGAGCCCTTCAAAACTGATTCATCCTCTCCAACTGCTCTCACATAACGGGATTCATTCAGGCAGTAAATTGCCCAAAACAGCTCTACTCTGGGAAGGACCATCGAGTCTAATCTCTGGACTTTGCAGTGGCAACACCAGTGTATTGGAAAAAGTGATATGCTTTAATATGAAATGTATTATATTTGGGGATGGGGGGGAATCTAACTGAGTACATTTACTCAAGTGTTGTACTTAATAAATAAACATATATTATTAAATGTTAAGTCATTCATATAAACCCCACTTTATGCAACATTAAAAAGGGTTGAACACATTAATGCACCAATCATTTTGATACAGAAATTAAAAATATATATGGTGCTTAAATGGACCATTCTGCGTGAGTACTTTGAAATATATGTTGATGTTATACTTGCACGCTTACTTAAGTACAGATTGAATGCAGGACTTTCACTTATTTTTGTATTCTTTCACTGCAGAATTGCTACTTTTACTTAAGTAAATTATTAGAGTACTTCTTCCACCACTATATGTCATTGATACTACGCCCTTTTAGTGTTCAAATAAGAAAAAACTATACTATAATGTACTATGAATAGCAGTTAAAATCAATATTCAAATGCTCAATGAAAGCAGTTATTTCCCAGCAAATAGTCAGTACCTGAATACAGTACCGTAATCGTTTATGACCCCGACGTAGCCCCGGTGGACGGGGTTAGCGTATCACTGACTAAAACACAACACCGCCCGGCTAGGATTGCCAAGTCGGCCAAACGCGATGAACTTATCCTAGCTCCAGAAAATATAACATGCCTCCTGCTTGATATACACACGTGAATTAATTAAAGCTGTCACTTTAATAGAGCTAACTGCAAAACGGTTAACACATTGAGCTAACAAAGCTAAGGACCACATACATACCAATCACCTCGTGTAGCTCATAGTCATCTTTGTTGATGGACCAGGTTTGGGGGGTCTGGTCCTCGGACATGGCTGAGGAGTGTGCTGGGGGGCCGTCTACTATCTGCAGAAAATGTGGTCAATCCCATACACTGTGCGTAAAAGAAGTAATCCAAACAGGAGGGCGACACTTCCCCTTCTTTGCGAATCCTGCAGCACTCCTGTCATTCCCAAAGTTTGACACGAGCCTCGCAGCCCCGCCTACCGCATTCCTAGTGAGCAAATGTGGACCTCCCCGGTCGCCATATTGAGTGAGGGGCGTAAATCCTGAATTCCAACACAGTCATTAAAAAGGGGGAATTATTATTAGCTCAGGTTGGCGGTTAATTACCCTGACTGTGCCAGTGTACGGTGACTTTTTGAAACGTTAGTTGCACAAATATGTAGCTTTATTTATCTTGAGACTGCATGTATTTGCATTTCCCCTTCTAGGTACCAGCAAACACTACAAATAGTATTTTAATATTAGGTTAAACATGCCTATAAACGAATAAGGCGTGTGGGTTCCGCCACACTTTCAATGGCGGGCTGTTCAATACTAGGTGATTTATTTTCCCAGCTGAAGGACTTAGAGGCATCCATTCTTCTCATACATCCGACAAACCACATGATTTTTTTCAAATAATCGCATCCCATACTTAATCCATTTGAACCCAAAATAATTTCATTGATGAAGCACTTTTATGTTGAACATAGGCTGGGAAATTCTACCTGACAGGCCACACTCAGGGCACATATTAACAATAAAATACCCGTGTGAAAAGAGGCGTTGCTCCAGACCACCCTGTTCACTGATTGGACGGTATCACATACGCTGCTCTGTGATTGGATGTTGATGTGTTAACTGTCAAATGTACTAGGCTGAGCGGTCTTCTTTATAGCATTCAATTAACGACACCTCTGATTTTTTTATAACATTTTTCTGCACACTGGCGACACCTGCTGGACAGCATTGGAGTATATTCTTATTTTAATACTGCACAGATTATTTTTAATCTAATTTCCCCCTCTGGGTTAATAGTACATGAATTCTGCTTCTGAAATAAAAGGAAACTGCCTTTTAAAAATGTGATACATTTATTAAAGGAAATAATACTCATACAATTTATTTTCAAAGTCAAATACATTACATCTTAGCATATACAAAAGTATCAAATGCAAAAACACTGTGATGACTGATACAGAAAGAGAGATAAAGGTAGGTGTCAGTAGACTTTAGTGGAACAATCTGAAATCTCTTCCTCTTCCTCTTCAGATACAATCTCATCGAGATGTTGCCTCGTAACAGGAAGTGGCAAGCACAAAAAAAAACAGCTTTTACAGAGAATTAGGTAAATGCTGTTCTGAATACAAACACCTCCTCCTCACATTATACCTCACATAAATACAAAACAGCGGCAGCAACCTGATATTCCTGAAACATAACTGTGTGAGAACTTTGCTGATATGTGGTATCCCTCTGCAGCTTCATAATAATCACCATTTCATCCTCATAGGAAACACAAATAGACCGAGTAAATTATAAGTGACACAAGCAATTGCACGTACTTTAACGATATGATGTTTAATAATAAAAAAGGCGCCTTTAACTATAACTGACTGGCTGGCTGTGAGAGGGCTTTGGCGAGACGTTTCCAGAACCAGTCCTGCGTGAGCGGCCGGGTGTAATCGCATATCGTGAGGAAGCGAAGGATGCTGGGAAACGGCCTCGTCATTGGCTTGTACTTCACTGGGATGAGACGCTTCCCTCGAGCTCCTGAGAGGAACAAATATTCAAAAAAAGTTGGGTTACTCTCTGGGACAATGCAGAAAAACACGGCTAACATTATAAAAGAAAGGGAGAATGACTTTGGTTTTGAAATTGAGAGTAAGGTGTGAAATGATCTCAACTTATATGGCTGTTTGACAACTAATAGAACAAAGGAACTTCAACTCAACATAAATCATAGACTACCAGTGAGACGCGGTAAAATGAAGCCGGATTTAAGTGCTAAATAACAGACATGTTCACTGTTTATTAAAAATGTGCATATATCCAACAATTCTGAAAGAGGGTCTCAAGGAAATCAATAACATAATTGGTAAGAAAGTAAACATCTTGTGCATTTTAATAATAATAATAATAGATTACATTTGCATAGCACCTTTCAAGGGACCCAAGGCTGCTTTACACGGTGAACAAACAAACAAAAAGGGGCAAATAATTGTAGGCATAGATAATCCCCCAAATATGACTCTAAACCACATGTGTCAAACTCAAGGCCCGGGGGCCAAATCAGGCCCGTGGTGGATTTAATTTCGGCCCGCAGGATAATTTCTAATTTCTATTAGATCTGGCCCTCCGGTATATTGCACCTTCACTCCATCCTGAGGGTCTCCTCAGCTCAGAGCCTGAGCCCAAACATTGATGAACTTGCACCCAAGATGAGATGCCAAGTATCTGAACTAGCATCACAGAGCAGCAACCTGAGTTTAATGGATGTTTCCTTCTGCACTTTCTCTCTCACGACAACAGGGCATGTTTGGTTTGTTCTTTGAGGGACATTTTTTTTTCTTTTTTTTTTTTAATTGTAATTATAAGAAATGACTCTGGAGAAGCTGCAGATAGAGCCATAAGAAATGAATGCAACTGATTATTTAATGTTTAATGTTGAATGTTTTTATAGGCAATAATTTAAGCTTTGTTAGTTCCAGGTTTAATATGTGCAATAAGTTCATTTCAATACGTTTGGCAATAAACATTGAACCAGTCCGGCCCTCGACTAGTACCCATTTTTTTATTTTGGCCCACTGTGTATTTGAGTTTGACCCCCCTGCTCTTAATCATATATATCAATAAAGTATGGAGTCCCTTTGCAGCATATTTAGGACCTGATTGCTTACAGACAATAACAGCAATGTTCATTAAACCATTTTTACTTTCAATATCTGTACATTTTTGCAAAGTCATTATCGTTTTACCCGTCACATCTGTCATGCTCTCTAAACCTGTCAATGTTTGAATAAAAAACAGTCGCATGCATGCACAGGTTTGTCAGACGCTGTTTCCTTTCATGTGATGTTTCTCACCAGGGCAAAGGCTGAGAGCAAACTTGGTCTGGAAGTCGCAGGCGTCGCTGTCCAGGTATTCATCAGAGATCACCACCACCATCCTCTTACACCTGCAAACATCAATAGATTTCAGGGAGATTTGAAGAGAGACATTTCTAAATCCATCCTCTCTGGTGGCTTCCTATGACTACATAAAAAAAATATATTAAGCTCTCTGCCATGCCTTTTGAGTCTTTACACTTCCTCTTTCTATTTTCCCCCAGTACAGATTATTAATAGCGGCAGAATATATTCGGTTTACTGATAATAGACTGCAGGCCTGTTTCACTTCCTGTGCTGAAATACATTCGTAAGGCACGCATGAGAAACGGTTTGCAAACAAACAATACATCAAAAGCGCCGGATAAGCAGAAGTGCGTTGGCTGCCAAGTTTTATATGTATTTTATTATTATTTAGCTTCTCTTGGACTTAAAATCTCACTGTACATTTTACATTTAAATTAGACTAGATTAGATTACTTTATTACATAATGCAAGCAGAGTGTCACGAAATTAAGAGGGTCTAACCAGAGTGCAAACAGTCAGTTATATACCCATCTAGCAGCAGTCTGTACAAAATAAATGCAAAATCCCAAAATTGAGATCAATAAAGTACTCTCTTATCTTATCTTATCATTTCTGGCACAATGTTTCGTCCAATAAGAGTTGTGGCGGCTATATACCCAAAGAATACGGCCGCTCTGAGGCTAAACTTCGCTCACTGATGTGACACGTATAAATAATAAAGTCTGTACTGATCTTGACGTTTTAAGGATATTTAATATTGGAAATCAAAACAATAAACAAACAGAATCATACGGTCAACAAAAGATATCAGAGTTAAGCTCACCCCCATTGTGACGCTAACAAACCTCCACATACACCAGAGGCCTGTACGACGAAGCTGGTTCAACCTAACCTGGATATGTTTGAGTTAGCCGGTTGGCCTAATCCAAAAAATACGCGCTCTCTCGCTAAACGGTCCTACGACGCGGGTTATCAAGTGGATCGCTCAAGCCAGCCGTGTCCTATCTAGTTAGGTGAGCGTTCACATGAAAGGGGCGGTATCTGGAGCATTCGACCAATCACAAACATGGAGAAGCGTACTGACAGCGCAGCGTCATACTTCCTGAATGAAAAGTGAACTTTAATATTAGACATATGAAGAAGTTAAACTTTAAACATCCATGACTTAAACAGTTAAACCAGGATCAAAGCCACATAGCTGCACCTGCAAGGTGAATACAGCTGGTAACAGAACAAGTGTTTGAGTGTTTGAATGCATACATTAACAGGTTCATGATATCACTGCCCCGTCTAAGACACCATCTGACTTTCATTACATTTGTCTCAAGTGTTTCGTCAACTTAATGTGTTGCTTAAAATAATACTTCTGCATCCAGTATGTGACACTGTGAGTGTTGCACGGCCAGATACGGCTCAGCTGACTCAGATAAGGAGATATATGATACATTATGATGTGATATGCCGCGGACTGTACTTAATGTTACTCTGATCCGGTTACTTATGTTGTGGCAGATATTTCAGTAAGCTTTCTTAACGCTAATGTTATAATAGTCAGATTGCTCTGAAGATGGGAGGTGATATTCTATTAATGTTCACGTTCACACAGTTGGTGATTTCCTTTCTCCTGTAATATATTACTTGATCCCTTTAAACTCCGCACACTGAGCTCTGATTGGTCAGCAGGCGGTGCTTTCACTGAGTTGATCTCTTATGCTGGAACCTAACCTGCTCCGGGGCAGGTTAGCCGCTCAGCATCAGTTACCATGGAGATCTAGCCCGCTAAGAAGAGAACCAGCGTCATAGGATCGGAAACCCAGAGTTTTCCCTGAAGTTAGCCGGCTAAGCGAAAATCTGGCTTCGTCGTGCAGGCCTCTGGTGCCCTAAATACCAATAACCACACCCACCGGAAACAACCCATTACAAGTGTGTTTGTGTCGTTAACAGATAATTAAGATAATATAATAATAAANTGCTACCGAGGTGTCCCTGAGCAAGGCACCGTTCCCTACACTGCTCCCCGGGCGCCGTTCATAATGGCAGCCCACTGCTCCTAACACTAATGCAGAGAATTTCTCTGCATTAGTGTTAGGAGCAGTGGGCTGCCATTATGAACGGCGCCCGGGGAGCAGTGTAGGGAACGGTGCCTTGCTCAGGGACACCTCGGTAGCACTTGGTCTTGCCGGGACTTGAACTGGTGACCTTCCAGTTGCCAAGTCCCTATCGACTTCGCCACCACCGCCCACTTAAACGCAGCCTTTACATTCCATCAGATTAGACGTTGACTCTTTCAAAGCCCCGGCACTAATGCAGTTTCTGTGCCTCCTCCCAACTGGGATGAAGACGATCTTATTTTCTACGACTGACTTGTGTCCCCCTGTGTGCATCGTAGTATAATCGCTGCAGCTTTGCTTCAAACCTCGAAGGCTTCTCTGAGTATTTCATAATCATGTAACTGGATAGCAGAGACGTGGCTCCTCTGAGCAGAGCAACCTTGTGCTCAGCTTGGAATGAATATCAGAGAGCATCAGGTCCATGTTAACTCAAGGTCCTGACTAGCTGCTGAATGCTCTTTTTGAGACTAATTGGCTGGCCTTGGTGCCCCTTGACCCTCAACAACCACCCCCACCCCTTTTCCACACACGCACACACACGCGCACGCACGCTCCCCAGCTTGTCCATCCACCCCTGACGACTGGCTGTTTGTTTGGAGGAATTTACACACCAATGTGTACCAGCGGAGCAACTGGCTCCCATCACTGGCCGCCCTCCAGGGGATTTGTTTGGTGGTGGTGGTGGTGGTGGGGGGGGGGCTATGGAGGATATATTTACAGCCCCTAGTTTTGAGCTACGGTGGAGTTGTCTGTGATTTCTTTAATGCGGGATACTTGTGCAACTCCAAGCATTAGATGGCACCCGCTACAGCTTCAGGAAGTAGTCTTTATAGAAATAGTGCAGAATAGTCTATATACAGTAATTGGATTATTGATATATATAAGTTGCAAACAGATGAATGTTATGGATGTTCTTTCAAAAGTTCAGCTGTTTAACTGTCTGTTTTTGTGGGTATTAAAGTGACTTTAGTCAATTAGGGTTGGAGATTTGGGAATAAATTACTTGCTGCAATCCATTTGACGGATATTGCCTCTTCAATATGATTTGCGATATGAGAGAGATAAAAAATGGTGTACATTATTTGCATTATCATAAAAAAAAATATTAAAATGATCATGGTGATTTGTTTTCTTTGAGGAGAATGAGAAAATAATGCAGTCACTAGAATACAGTTTTGTTTACCACTAGGGATTTAACGATACCAAAAACTCAGAGGACAGAGAGATATGCTTTGGCCATGGGTGACAGCAGTGGGTCAAGCTGTGCATTGTCTCTCCACCTCTTCAAAACAATACAGTTTTTGCCAAGAAGGTGAGGCTTATTGACAGGGCCAGATATAAATATACTGTTGGTACTTGTCAATGTCTCCAGGTATGTACATGTAGCCCTGTAAATACATTAAAAAAAATTATTAATTAATTTACCACGATATTCTATATATCGTTACATCCCTATTTACCACATATTTTGCCTTTTACCGTATATTTTCCTCACTGCATTTTTGATATTGCACTAGTCCAAACTCTATATATATATAATATATATATATACATATATATATATATAAAACTAATTGTGCAGCCCTCGTGTCAAATACAGGAAATTACAAGGAAATTGCAGTGGTTAATATTCTCAGTTGCATCTCATTTTATTCTTTGCTTCTCCCACACAGCCTGAAGTCATAACTACATAAAAAGCACGTCTTCAGGGACAGCTTTACTTTTTAATTAAAATCAGGAAACAGTGTAGGTCTTTTTTGAAAGGCCTCCATACAACACTGGCTCAATGAAAACTCCAAACAAAGAGCAGCACGTTGTTGTTAATATTTGGCCGCAGCTACTAAGAGGTTAGGAAAAGATTACTGCGGAGTGAACCAACGCATCGATCACTCTTTCAGACCTGCTGCCAGAGGACAATGTGCTCCAGGCATTGCTCAGCATCACGTATACTCCCGAGGTCGTGTGTGTGTGTGTGTGTGTGTGTGTGTGTGTGTGTGTGTGTGTGTGTGTGTGTGTGTGTGTGTGTGTGTGTGTGTGTGTGTGTGTGTGTGTGTGTGTGTGTTTAAAGAGAGCGAGGCAGTGACCTCACACGAAGCAGGAACAACAGGCTCTCTTAGGAGGGAGACAACAATCCTTCACTCTGCCACCAATATTCAGGATGAAGATTAGTCCACTCTTGTTGGATTTAATCTTTAATCCGATTGCATTCATGTGTTCTTTGCTTGTTTTGATCTAAACAGCTGTAGTTATGGTATGAGCTAGACCTGTTCTTTTTTCACTATACTATATGATGCAACTTTTAAGAAGTTAGCATGGGGAATAATCGTGATTTAAAGTGGTGTCCAGGTTTTGAAATCTGTTAAAGGGGGCCTGATATCCTCAGCTTGATATACCGATGCATGTTCACACACGGTACTGTGTACTTTAGTTGTAAATGAATCGTGTGTGGTCTCCTCCTTCTGTCCAGGGCGTGACAATAACACACTAAAGGGAAAACCCCAAAAAGTGTCTCCTTTAAAAATCCAGACCACATTGATATTTCACTTGTGTCAAAGGGACCTTTTTTTAAAGGTCCCATGTCATGCTTTTCTGGTTATCACCCGTCCCCTTGTGTGTTATGAAGGTTGTTCTGCATGTAAATGGTCTGCAGAGTCAAAACCCTCAAAGTACACCCTGTAGGAGTAAAACTCTAACACAGAGAAGACNGTTCAACATGTAAGAAGTAGAAAGTTCAGGTATTTGTGTTCAACATGTAAGAAGTAGAAAGTACAGGTATTTGTGTTCAACATGTAAGAAGTAGAAAGTTCAGGTATTTGTGTTCAACATGTAAGAAGTAGAAAGTTCAGGTATTTGTGTTCAACATGTAAGAAGTAGAAAGTTCAGGTATTTGAGTTCAACATGTAAGAAGTAGAAAGTTCAGGTATTTGTGTTCAACATGTAAGAAGTAGAAAGTCGTCAGAAAAATAAGTAGTGGAGTAAAGTATTGATACCAGAAAAATGTACGTAACGAAGTATTTGTACTCCACTACTTCCCC